TCAGACCTGGTTCTGACCTGGTTCTGACCCGGGTCAGACCTGGTTCAGACCTGGTTCTGACATGGTTCAGACCTGGTTCTGACCTGGTTCTGACATGGTTCAGACCTGGTTCTGACCTGGTTCTGACCTGGTTCTGACCTGGTTCTGAACCGGGTCAGACCTGGTTCAGACCTGGTTCTGACCCGGGTCAGACCTGGTTCTGACCTGGTTCTGACCTGGTTCAGACCTAGTTCTGACCCGGGTCAGAGCTGGTTCTGACCTGGTTCTGACCTGGTTCTGACCCGGGTCAGACCTGGTTCTGACCTGGTTCTGACCCGGGTCAGACCTGGTTCTGACCCGGTACTGTCAGCACAGGTCAGGTGTGTGTTCCAGGCCCTGGAGGTGTTGCAGAGCTGTTAACAGGACAATCCAGAGGAAGCAGAGCTTTATCTGAGCCCCAGCGTGGCTGCAGGCTGGAGGCTGGAGCAGTCAGACATCCCATAATCCCGTGCTCACTGCCCAGGTCGCCATGGAAACCAGCTCCAACATCCTCACCCCATCCTCACCCAGAACTGAAACCGTGTGCCTCAATAACTTTTCTGGAAGCAGGCGGTGTTTTGTCTCCGACCTGCAGATGTTCAGTGTTTCATTAGTGGTGTTTGGTGTCATCATCGTACAGCCTGAGTTTGGACCGAGGTCTCGGTCGTCCTCTTTGTGGTTCTGATTGGTTCTGTTGATGATCTTCCCCTCAGCCTCATTAGTGACTCCATGTCCACTCAGACTCGATGTACTAGAAGCATTTCCTATGCAACAACAACAACGATGAAATAAAGACGCTAACGCTGAACCGACTGTGTCTGCCGCCTTTTTCTGTTTAAGGTCTCATCTGGTCTCATCAGATCTCTTCTGGTCTCATCAGATCTCCCCTGGTCTCATTAGGTCTCATCTGGTCTCATCAGGTCTCATCAGGTCTCCTCTGGTCTCATCAGATCTCTGGTCTCATCAGATCTCCTCTGGTCTCTGGTCTCATCAGATCTTCTCTGGTCTCATCAGGTCTCCTCTGGTCTCATCGGGTCTCATTAGGTGNACCCCGGGTCCACCACCCCAGTCCTGCCTCTGTCCCAGTGGATCCCTGCAGACTGGGTCTGGCTCAGATACCACCAGCTAAACCCCTAACATACCTGAGCCTGAACGCACCTCCTGGGATGGACTGCACCTCTTTTCTTTTTTTACTCGGACTTGGAGGGACTCGGCCCTTCCTGACTCGCCTCCAGGCTGCTGTGAGGTCAGGGAGGRAGGAGCCAGCATGGCTCGCTCTGAAGACGTGGACCAGTGCTTAATGGGAGGAGCTAAAGGGAGATGCCCCGCCTGCTTTTGGAATGGGGGGCGTGGTTTGTGTTGCTCCAGACTCTGGTAGACCCAGTTTTGTTTCTGTGAYGGTTTTTGCTTCATGGTTCATTGATTTATTTCTCTTTTAGCACCATTTCAGCCAGTCCTTCCTCTTCCTCGCCCCTCCATCCACGGGTCGGTCCGGGTGCAGCGTATGAAGGCGGGGGGTCGGAAACAGTCAGGAGAGAAYGGCTTCTCTGAAACCTCACCAGTGAAATCCTGAGGAAAGTGCAATTTAGTTGGTTAGCTGTTGATAATGACGTGTTTGTAAGAAACCAGAGTCGTTGAATTTGAATCTATATTTTTCTTCCGAGTCCACTCCCACCTCCGGGACTCTAAAATACGGAGGTAAAAAAGAAAACTCAAAGCCACGGCTTTGTGCTGTTTTCACTTTTGTTTATTTGTTGTTTGTTCGTATAAAAGTGTTAGTTTGATATAAAAATCCCTTTAAGAAAATTCATTTCAACAATCGGTTTTTAAAACGTTTGTTTTTTAGTTTTTTAGGGGGAAAAACGCAAAGCGGTTAACGTGTTTTACTGAGCACTTCGTTCTCCGTCTGACCACTAAAATCAGACAAAAACTCCTAAACTGAAGCTTGAAACTATTTGACAAGATAATCCGCCCGGTAACGGGCCGCTCTGCGATTGGCTGCGTCTCCTAGAGGCCTCCGTCCAATCACAAGCACTTCTTCCTGCAGTTGGCCAATGGGCCGTGAGCGTGTAATCTGGGGGTGGGGCGCAAGGGGCGGAGCCAAGGGAAGTTTTTCATCAATTCAACCTGAGTTAGTTTTTCTTTCTTCTATACATATATAAATAAATATATACATTCAAACACTTCCATCAGTGTCAAAGAAAAGTGGATTAAAAACACCAAAAAAATCTGCACGTTTTAATGTTAGTGACAGTTTCTTTCATAGATGTAGTTAGTGAGATAAAGACACTWTGTTGTAAAAAAGGACATCAGGCGCTCAGCAGTGTGGTCTTCTTTTATCGCCCTTTCACAACTAACCAGCTGTTTTCACTTCCCAACATCCCTCCATCCTTCTGCTGCATCCATCTCCATCTTCTAACCACTTGTATGAGATCAGTCACTCCTCGTCGATGTGCCTTGAGCTTTAGTCCGGTCCAGAGAGCGAAGAGACGGGTTCCAGCTCATCCCTTTATGTTTTCATTTGTTTCCTGTCGGTCCAAGCTGAGGAGGAAACATGCTGGTGTGACGTCTCAGGCTAACGATGCTTTACCTTCTGTTCCCCGGTCTGAACGGATCCTCAGGACTGAACCCAGGTTCACCTTCCTGCACTAACAGACAAACGTTTAGTCCAATGAGCACTGAGGCTGGAGGACAGGTCTGTTTGATGATTCCATCCAATGAGGAACTGATTAAAGGGATGGTCAGTAGGTGGCGCTGTGGGTGAGACAAACAGGAAGTCAGAGGCCAATGAGATTAAAACCTTCAACAAAGCAGTTAACTAGTCTAGTTAGCTACAAATCAGTTGAACTAGTTTAAATAGAGTCCAGTTAATTAAAGTTCAGTGGAACTGACCGGTGCCAGAGCTTGGTCCACATTATTGTTAGTAAGTCGGACTTGTTTCCAGTGAGAGTTGGACTCCACCAAGGTTGTCCTTTGTCACCGATTCTGTTCATAACTTTTCTGGACAGAATTTCTAGGAGCAGCCAAGGTGTTGAGGRGATCCTTTTTGGTGACCTTAGGATCACATCTCTGCTTTTTGTGGATGATGTGGTCCTATTGGCTTCATCAGATCCTGATCTCCAGCTCTCACTGGAGCCGTTCACAGATGGGATGAGGATCAGTGCCGCCAAATCCCAGACCATGGTCTTGAGCCAGAAAAGGGTAGGGTTCCGCCTCCGGGTCGGGAAGGAGGTCCTGCCCCAAGTGGAGGAGTTTAAGTATCTCAGGGTCTTGTTCATGAATGAGGGAAGAATGGAGCAGGAGATCTACAGGTGGATTGGTGCTGTGTCTGCAGTGATGTGGGTGTTGTACCGGTCTGTCGTGGTGAAGAGAGCTGAGCCAGAAGGTGAAGCTCTCAGTTTACCAGTCGGTCTACGTTCCTACCCTCATCTATGGTCAGGAGCTTTGGGTAGTGACTGAAAGAAGGAGATCACAGATCCAAGCAGCTGAAATGAGTTTCCTCTGCAGGGTGTCTGGGCTCTCCCTTAGAGATAGGCTGAGAAGCTCAGTCATCCAGGAGGGACTCAGAGTAGAGCTGCTGCTCCTCCATGTCCAGAGGAGCCAGTTGAGGTGGTTCATCTGGTTAGGATGCCTCCTGGACTCCTCCCTGGTGAGGTGTTCTGGACACGTCCCACTGGGAGGAGACCCAGAGGAAGACCCAGGACACGCTGGAGGGACTATGTTTCTCAGCTGGYCTGGGAACACCTTGGGATTCCCCCAGAGGAGCTGGTCCAAGTGTCTGGAGAGAGGGAGGTCTGGGTCTCTGCTGAGGCTGCTGCCCCCGACACCTGACCCTGAGACCTGACCCTGGATAAGAGGAAGAAAACGGATGGATGAAGTTTACTAGTGCCAATTAGTGTAGTGTTGGTACGGTTCAAAGCCATTTCCATTAGGCCAGATTCATGGAACCGGACCTTTTTTTAGTACYTACTTCATTGTGGATCCAAGTGGTCCCAGCTGACACCAGAATGTGATGTCAGAACACTATTTGTCACTGATTGACTAGAGGGTGGAGTCATTGGTTTTGTCTAAGGTGCCTTAACAAGAACAACTCAAGGATCCATTTTCAGTGACATTAGTCGTGACTCCATCCAATTTTAATTAGAAATTTTTGCGTATTTTTAAAATTTCAAAAGTTATTCATCAAATATGTTTCCATCTCTCATTTTGCCCATTAACGTTTTTCAAAAAAACTAAAAACCACCTCCACCAACCGCCCAAAACACACCCACTGGAACCGGACTTGAACGTCAATAGAAAAGCACCCGAACTGATCCGTTCTGACACTGACCATTCCGACACTGACCGTACCGACACTGACCGTACCGACACTGACCGTACCGACAGTACACTAAGTGGCACTAGTGGAAAAGGGGCTCTAGAGTCCAGTTAGGTAAAGTTCAGGTGAACTAGTTTAACTAGGGTTCTCCCAAAAAGGGGCGGGGCTGTGAATTAATCCCAAAAAGGGGCAGAGCTCTGAATTAGTCCCTAAAAGGGGCGGAGCTGTGAATTGGTCTCAAAAAGGGGCGGAGCTCTGAATAAGTCCCAAAAAGGGGCGGCGCTTTGAATTAGTCCCTAGCAGGGCTGTGTACCAGGATGTGTAAACAATGAGGTAAAACTGAGGCTCAGATTCAAACCACAGAAGGAAGAACTCCTTAAAACAACCAGTTTTCTGCAGATGTTCTGAGTCCAGTTCTCGTGTTCATTTGACTAAAGTTTGACTGATGGATTATTGTGTCTTCCTCCTGTCCTTCGTCTTCCATCTCATCTGCTGCTGCTGCAGAAGCGTCTCTCATCTCGTTTCTATTTGGAACCGAGTTTTCTCCGTCAGATTACAGATTTGAGTAAAGAGGACATAAAATATGCAATCCCTTCCTGCACTCTCAGACTTCTTCCTTCTTTCATGTTTGTTKAACTTTCTTGTTCTGTACAAAGTCTGAGACAGGAGACAGCTGTCCTCCAGGCCCTGCAGAAACACTCAGGGTTCTTTACTTCCTGCTGGTTCTGAAGTTCTGCCACAAACACACGGGTCTCTGATTGCTATGGTTGTGAGCGAGCCTTAAACAGGTCCAACATGTCCTCAGTCTTCTGAAGACGTCCTGGTGGTCCTTCAGGCTGTGATGGTTCTGTCTCTGTCCCTTTAGCTGCGAGTTGGGCATTAATTATCTGCACTAAATATGAACTAAAAGGATAAAATAAAGGCGGAGCTTAAAGCCGTGAGGAGAATCAGATTTAAAAAGTTTCACGGACATTTTATTTTGAAAGTGTCAGAAAAACAGGYTGAGCCGAGCGTCCAACGCTGTGAAGGAAACGGACAAACTCCAATCTGAAAGCAACAGATTGGGCAGCGAGTTTGTTTTTGTGTTTTTAGTTTGGGGGGCTCGGGGGGGTGGGGGGGGTCTTTTAAAGCTGCCCTCGTTTCTAAAGCAGGACTTCTGTAAGAAGAACAGGAGGGACATGTGTTGATTTCTGTTTGTATCAGAACTGGTTTGTTTTCTGGAAACTGAACTTTTCTGTATTTAAAAACACTTCCTGTTTCCTGTTGATGAAGATGATGATGATGATGATGATGATGATGATGATGAAGGCAGGTCAGGGGCTGATCTGTACTTGTGTTTGTGACGTTCTTGTTGAACTCTGAGGAAGAAGATTTGAGGTGAAGACATGAACAGAAAAACATCTCAGCTTCTTTTTTTGTTCTCATCTCATGCAGGAAAATAAACAGCTGATTATGCAACATGATTCTTTTTCTTTCACCATTTCTTCCTTTCTTCACCTCCTCCTCCTCCTCCTCCTCCTCCTCCTCCCCCGTCCCGAGCTTCTGATCCTCGTCCATCCACACCTCCTCCACCAGCGTGAAGGAGCAGGTCCGCTGTGATCCTCTGCTGAGATCAATACCTGCAGCGATCGATGGTTCTGCTCTGCTGGAAGGTTCTTCATCGAACCGGATCACTTTCATCTGAAAACCAGGTCCAGGGCCAGGTCCGGCTCAGAACCAGCCTGGGAAAGTCCACCAAGGATTCTGAGAAACGAGCAGCAGCTCCGATCACACGGAACCAGAGTCCAACCCAGACCCCACCTCCTGGACCAGACCCCACCTCCTGGACCAGACCCCACCTCCTGGACCAGACCTCACCTCCTGGACCAGACCCCACCTCCTGGACCAGACCTCACCTCCTGGACCAGACCTCACCTCCTGGACCAGACCTCACCTCCTGGACCAGACCTCACCTCCTGGACCAGACCTCACCTCCTGGACCAGACCTCACCTCCTGGACCAGACCTCACCTCCTGG